AGTAGATGAACATAATAACAAAAATAAAACCCTGATTTTTCATGGTTGCACAGCAGGAGGTGAGCAGTTGGGTCAGATCAGCAGCAGAATTAGATTCTCATAGGAGGGCGAACCCTATTGTGAACTGCGCATGCGTGGGATCTAGGTTGCGTGCTCCTAGATCAGGAATCTAATGCCTGATGATCTGGTGGAGCGGAGGAGGTGATGCTAGCACTGGGGAGTGGCTGCAAATACAAATTAACGTTAAGCAGTGAGGCCTGACTGCACACTCCCCTCCCCTAATCGTCGGTGGAAAAATTGTCTTGTACACAACCAGTCCCTGATGCCAAAAAGGTTGGGGACTGCTGTGGTAAAGCATATCTAATTTCTTACACAGTCATTTCTCCAAAAGAGAAACAGTATCTATTAAAATGATGGATTTGTTGGCACATCACACTGTGTGGGGATATATGTCCTAGAAGCCAGAAAAGGTAGCAATCAATGGTTTTATTAAGATGCATCTGACACTTAAGCCCAGCAGTTGTGTAAGATTTTAAGCAAAACCTTATCTCATTAAAGATTAAGTTCAAGGGCAGGCTTAAAAACTGAATGTAGAAGCACTGAAAAAAAAAAAGAAGATACTCACTGCAACATTTTTTAGGTTATATGAGAATTCTCAGCACTTTGCCTGTACTTAAAGATTTTAGAAAAAAATGAACACTTAAGGATATTACAAGTTATTCAGAAATCCAACACTATAGGCATGTAACAAATCTGAGTAAAAAATAGCACATCTGACACTCCTCTTTAAAGTACCTTTGACTTTAAGACTCACCGTAAGGTGAAATCTCAGGTTTTGCCCGCAGCGTGTATAGATCTTAGGCTGCCCAACTCAGCCCAGCCCCTTTTACATTTGCAGCTCCAGTGCAGCACTATGACATTTTGCTGACCAGGTCAAGAATAAAATTGCTTACCAGTGATTTGTGAAGGAAGAGGCGATGGCCCTAAGTACCCCTGGAACTTTAGTCTTTTTCAACTACTTTCCTTTCTCTGTCCTTTGATCTCTTTTCCACTCTGATGTCAGTCACCAGAAGATTTACAAAGTAGCCTCGTGCAGAAAGTTTCTAAAAAGTTGAGTTCTTCACAGAATACAGTTCTATACTCTTCTTTTTATTTTTTTTATTTTAAAGGTGTGGGGTACAATTCAGGGTTTGGTATACAGATGTTCAGTATGCAGGTACCCTTGTTGATGAGGTGTACCCTCCCTCCCCCATCAGATTCCCACCACTGCCAATCCCACCCACCCCCCAATATACTCTTCTTTTTATTAGAGAACTCTAAAAACAGTAACTGATGAAGAAAAAGCCTTAGCCATTTATTTCAAATGTAATTCTGGTTTGAGTTCCACTGTGACTAAAGTTGTTAGAGTTTGGATTTGGTTCAAACCAGACTATGTGGGGTGGAGGGAGTTTTCTTTTTCCCTCCAGTTGACTTCCAGTTCGAAAAATAACAGGTGAGGTTCATTTTTCTTTTCAGGAAACATTCAGTTTGGTTTCTGGTTAAAGTTTTAAATAAATAAGGACTACAGGCCTATCCGGAATTATTAACAACTTAACCATTTCAAAACACCACAGTGACCTTAACTCAGGAGAAAATGGCACTTTATGTTTGAATCTATATATGATATCCTTGGAATTTACATTAAAAAATTTACATCAGAGCCCAGAGGCAGAGCCCCATTGGAGAAGACAAAGGAGGAAAAAATAAAAATAAATAAACAATTTACATCAAACATATATGACATACCAAAGAAGTGAGTATGAATCTAAAAACAGATTTCAAAATAGCTACAAAGAAGGTACTGCACTCACTGACTTGAAAATACAGTAAACATGCTTCTTATTCAGATAACAAGGTACAATATAAAAGAGTAGTAAGACATTATTTGTGTTTTCAACCAACAGAGCAGACCAGTCCTGCTACCTTCTATCTGTGTGAGTGTGGTAGGTAGCCAATGCAGCCACAGATACTAGGCACTGGGATATATGCTGAATGAATGAAAAAGTAAATAATTTAAATCTCTCTACATCTTAGTTTCTGTATCTGTATAAGTGGAATAACTGAACCTCTCTTGAAGGGTTGGCTGTGATGATTAAATATGCGTAAAGCACTAAGTATGATGCCTAGCACAGAGTAATCAAACAATATTATTGTCATCTCTTGAGCAAACAGTCTACAACTGACATAAATATCTGAACTGCTAAAATACAAATTGTCTATAATGAGTACAGTCAACCCTAAATTATCATACATAAAGGAGAAGGCAGAATATCAGTAAGGAGGGAAAATAGGACTTTCATCCACCCTCCACAGAAACACCAATTTGAACAGCTATTCATGCATGAAAATGCCTCAAGATCTAAGGAGATCAGGTGAAAAATTACTGCACTTGGGTGTAGCACACAAAAAAGAAGAAAAAAACACAAAGGGTAGGAAGGACAATTTTATATTACTCATGTCGCCCCTCTTCCAACCCCAGGCAGCACAGTACGGAGAGACACACCTTCCACGTGGGGGAAAGGACATGGAAGTGAGCACAGGACTTTAGCTTGGACCCCAGCCCACTCCAGTAAGACTAGGCGAGCCCCCTTGTTCCAGACTCCAGGTTGATACCTGCGGACCGAGTCTCCCAGTCTGCCTGTGTGCCAGGTTGGATCACACAATCCTGGGCTCCAGGCCTGTTCCAATGCCATGCTGACTCCCATGGCCGCAGGATCCAGACCACCCTAAGACTCAGGATGGCCCTAGCACCAGACAAGCCTCCAGAGACTCAGTCTCCAGGCCTGTACCAGGGCTAAGCTGGCCCCAGTGGTCCTAGGCTCTGGACCGTCCCTAGCACCTATGGTCCCATCCTTCAATCTGGCTCTGCGGCCCCACACTCCTGCAGACCCAGGATTCAGGCCTGTCCCAGTAGACTGACTCCACTGCTGGGCTGGCCCCCACAGACGCAGGTTCCAGGTCAACCCCACAGCCCCAGAATCCAGGCCAACACACAAACATCTAGTTTCCAACTGGCCCTTGAGCACCTAGGCTCCAGGCCAGCCCACAGGGCTCAAGGCACCAAACCAGCACCCACAATCCCAGGCTCTAGACTGACCCCTGGGCAGATGTAGACCCAGGCTCCACACCTGATCCAGTATCAGACTGCTCCCAGGCTCCAGACAAATTCCTGTTCCAGTGGAATCAGGGTCCAGGCATATTCCAGCAGATCCAGGGTCCAGGCCCACCCCAGTAGATGCTGGTACCAGGCTGGCCCTCATGAACTGAGACTTCAGGACCACTCCTGCAGACACAGTCTCCAGGCCAGTCATGGTGGAACCAGGACCCAGGCCCACCCCCTGGACTCAGTTCCAGGTCTGTCTCAGAGGGCCCAGGCATCAGGCCCATCTTAGTACCTGGCCAGATCCTGCAGACTGAGGCTGAAAAGCCAGTGACAGGTCAGCCCCTGTCGACTCAGGCTTCAGGCTGGACCCCAAGGATACAGGATCCAAACCAATCCTTACAGAACCAGGCTTACTCCCCGGAGCCAATCAACAGGTTCAGCCCAGTGAATCCAGGCTTCAGGCACAATCCTACAAACCCAGGCACCAGGCAAGCCTGCCCTAGGACTTCAGTGGCAAGTCCGCTATGAACCTTGCCAGGTGGCCTGCCAAGAACCTCTGGGTGGGTTTACTGGTAAAGGGCCTTCCCAATCAAAACCAATGTGCAAAGACTGGAATAAGTCCCCACTTTCATATGCACACAAACCAACCCAGGGCCACAAAGATCAAGAACTATCAGGAGCCCATGTCACTGCCAAAGAAACAAAATAAAGCACCAGTAACGGATTCTGCCTGAAAAAACTGCCAAAATAATTATTTTAAGGAAGCTCAGAGGACTTGAAGAAAATTCACAGAAAAAAATTCAATAAAATCAGGAAAACAAATGACCAAAATGAAAGATTTAACAGAAAGATTGAAGTTTTTTAAAAAAAATCAAACAGAAATTCCAGAGCTGAAAAAAAGTACAGTCAACTACATTTTCACAGTAATAAATAATCCTAAAATTCATATTGAATCGCAAAAGACCCCAAATATCCAATGAAATCTAAAGCCCAAGAACAAAGCCAGAGGCATCACACTCTCTTATTTGCAAATCTACCTCAAAGCTATAGTTACCAAAACAGCATCGTACTGGCTTTATAATAGTGCCGGAGACCAAGAGAACAGAAGAGAGAGCCCAGAAATGAATCCATGCATCTATGGTCAACTGATTTTTGAGAAAAATCTTAAGAACACACAACTGGGAAAAGTTTCTTAATAAATGCTGTTAAGACAATATTTGACAATATTCAATGTCAAAGTTATGTTTCTAGGCTACCTTCCCTAGCCATCTTTGGATCAGGAATGTAAAACAATTTTAATATAAACGGAAACAATGTGTACTTAAGAATGCCAATCTTGGCCGGGTGTGGTGGTGCACGCCTGTAATTGCAGCTATGAAGGCTGAGGTGGAATGATCGCCTGGAGCCCAGCAGGTTGAGGCTGCGGTGGCCGTGAGTACGCCGCTGCACTCCAGCCTGGGTGACAGTGAGACACTGACTCAAAAAAAACCAAAAAAAAAAAAAAATCAAGAATGTAAATCTTTGGGACAGAAGAACAAATATCAAGTTTCAAAATAAAACAATGTTTCAACTGCAAAGTTCTGGATCTCCTTTTGTTCTTTTTAATCATAAACCTGCGTGAACTACTACAGAGACCTCTAGGACATGAATTCGGCAGAGGAGGGGTGCAGGATTGACTGCGACAGAATCAAAAAGAATGTAAGGTGTGTTACCACAAGGGACAAGCGTGTTCTCCCAAGTGACAAGAGGTCATGGTCCAAGAATAAGGACTCTAATTCTTGTTTCACGCCATCTGTCAAACTCGAACGCGCAAGGGGACTTCTAGGCTACGCTGGAGACCATATGTCACAGGACCCACCTCCTCACAAAGTGTAGAAAAGCGGTTGAGGAACTGTACCGTGTGCACCACAAACTGGTTTAGAAAAGCCACCGTTCTTTTCTGTTGAATAGCCGGCACCTGTGTTGGGCAAAAACAAACGTGATTCACACCGGAGGGTCGTTCGCCGTCCACGCCCTCTAACCTTTTGACCCAGCAGCGAGGCACTTTGCCGCCACACGCATCTCTGGAAGGGCTGCCAATCGTCATCGACCCGCTTTCCCCAACTGGGGGCGGGGCGTCCGAAGATGGCAGAGGGCGCAGCAAAGTTTGAGAACGGGCTCTGGAGTCACGAGTACGGATTTCGGCAGGTGGAAGCACGACACGGAAGCGCGCGCCACGTGGGGTCTGAGCGCAGGAGCCGGGGCTGGAGCGCGCCACCCGCCGGTGTGGCCCGCGGGTCCCGGGGCGCGGGCACACCCGCTCCTCAGGCAGCTCCGGGGTACCCCTCTCCCAGGTGAACCTGGGGCCCTCCCTCCCGGGGCCGGCAGAAGAGGCCGGGGCGGGGACGGGACGGGGGGCCTCGAGAGGGGGCTCTCCTGGGATCCGGGGGTCTCTCCCCCTCCTGCTACCCGGCCGCCGGAAGTTACCCACCTTGGTCAGGTCGATGCCCGACCCCATGAGAGGAAGCCCGTCCTCATCCATCTCCTCGGTGGGCGGGGGGCACCCGGGCTCACCCACAGACCCCAACCCCTCCCCGCGGGCCCCGCCCAACCCGGTAACTGCGTCCCAAGCTTCCCCCACGGCCCCGCCCACAGGGCCTTCCTGCCGGAAGAGATCGTCTCCGCTCGCCAATCGCTCGGCGGCTTCCGGTGAACCCGCCCCTCGCTCGGAATTCTGGGATTTGTAGTTTGGGGTCGTGATTGTGTGCAGGGCTGCTGTCCTAGTAGCAATTTTTTTTTTTAAAGTGGGGAAGGGAATCGGAAATTGCGTTCGTTATATAAATAGTTCCGCCATTCGTTGAACAACAATACATTAAAAAAATCCTATTAGGTGCCTGCTATTCTGTTAGGGAATGCAAAGATAGAGTCAGATTGAGGCTGCTGCACTGGAGAGGCTTATGCTCTGGAGATAAGACCTGTTTCAAAGGTCTTTAAGAAAGTGATTTACACTTAGATCATCGAAAAGGTGAAACAGTGACCAGGAGGGAGCTTGGCACCTAAATTTGACGATCTTCATTCAGATTTTGACTGTGCAGTTTGCCAGTTGTGTGACCTAGGACAAGTCACCTGACCAAAAGTTTGAACCTCTCCTATATTCCAAGCAAGATGCTCGGTACTGAAAAGATGAAGAAGAGAATAAATTTCTCTGCCTCCCAAAAATTTATAGTCTAAGAAAGACGTACAGAGTTTAGATGTGCAACATCAGAATGAATATGCGTACAGAATACTGTGAAAATTGTGAGCATGCAGTGGGCACACAAAAGCACTTGCGTCCACATTGGCATGCACGCTCACACATGCAAAGTGCTATGGTACCATAGATAAAAGGCACTTCTGTGTCCTCTGAGAAAGTCAGAGAACAATGATTTTTAGCAGCTACTTACATTAAGGAAAGTTGGACAGCTGATTAGGAGTGGACCTGTGTGCAAACACATGGGCAGGAGGGAGTATGGGATGTCAGGGAAGTGGGAAAACCCCATACATGGAGAATGGTAGGAAATGAGATGAGAGAAATAAGCAGAAAAAAATTATTAACGGCCTTTTATGCCAGATTTGATGCTATACATGTTTCTCTAAGTGTGATCTATGGGCCATCTGTAGCAACTATTTGGGAGTGGGTACTGCTTCTTAAAATGCACATTGTAGATATCGATCTCAGAGAAACTGAATCAGGATCTCTGGGGGATGAGCCTGGAGATCTGCATTTTAACCAACCCAGCTTCTGGGATTATTCTGAACCAAAAGGTTTGAAAATTACTTCTAAAGGTGCTGAGAGGCATTAAAATATTTTGAGCAGGCAGTGACATGATCCAGATTTATTAAAAGGCTAAATGGTGGAAACAGAAAAGTCAAGGGTAGTATTTGTACTTGTAGAGATGGGAGGTCAAAGTGAGGAAGGATAAAATGAGAAAAACTTTTAAATACATGTCTCTTCGTGTTTATGGCTAGTTGGATATTATTGAATATTTCAACAAACATGTATTGAGCACCTTCTATGTTCTAGGTGCTTTACCAATGCTATAACTGTAAATAAGATAAACTCTGTGACAGTTCTAGGCAACTGTACATAGGTTTGTGTGGGGCCCAGCCCCTGCAGATATTGGGGGTCCCTGGTAGGAAAGATGGCGTTGGCGATTAAACTGGAGGGATAGATATTAAAAGAAAGAAAGATGGAGGGATAGATATAAAGAGAAAGAAAGAAAGAGACTGAACTCCTGTCTAGTGCAGAAGCCGATTCTATAGGATAGATATTAAAAGGAGGAAAGAATGAGACTGGACTCTGTCTAGTGCAGAAGCTGTTTAATGGGACAAACTGTAAGCCTTTTATCCCAAACTTTCATGGGGTTAAATCACAAGACTTTCACGTGAACACAAAGCTAGGTGGATGAGGGGGTGTCCCCCACCCACCAGGTGTTTCCTCAGGCATGAGGAAGGACAATCCCAATTAAATCACAAGACTTTTACATGATCACAAAGCCAGGTGAATGAGGGGCATCTCCCACCCACCAGTCGTTTCCTCAAGCATGAGAGGAAATTATCCCCAAATTATCTCACTGTTCCTCATGCTTGGTTAATGTTCCTCAAAAGCAATACAACAATTCTAACATCATAATATTCTAATCATCAATAACTTTTAAAACTTATGCATACACAACACCTAATGACTAACTTAAATCCTAATTCTTTTCTATTCTACCCTAATTCTACCTACACTATAGAAACTCTTAATTATAGCTCAAACCAGTTCCTAAAGAATGTGGCCCAGTCCAAAGTACGTGCTGGGCCCTTAGGAATGTGTCCCAGCCCAAAGTTCGTGCTGGGCCATTTCTGGTAACACTAGATAATCATCTATACTGTCTAAAGCTGAAAACAGCTCTTCATATGTATATACTAATTCTACAAATATACTTTTAAATCTTATAAAGAAGCTTGTACCGTATAGAAGGCTCCCAAATGTGACCTGAGTTTGAATGATATCTAATACCTAAGCCGAAGCCGCAGTTCATGGGAAACAGGAACAATGAGGTTCTAGAGTGAGCCATGCCTGTCACAATCACAGAGGCTTCAGCTTAGGTCAGCAGAGTTCCTTTTGGCAAAGTGTGCTGAATAGAAAAAGGAAGGAGGGAATGGGGTCAACAGCCCCCGAACCCATCCTAGTGGTCTCGGTGTCCACGGCCCTCCCTGATCCTTAACGCTCAGCAGGCCTCTGTGGCTGGCTCCCAACAGGTTTGGTTTTTTCCCATCAATAAAACCCATATGAACTGTTTTTTCCCCCATTATAATGTAAGTTTCTTGGAGCAGGGGTTATTCCTTTCTTACGTCTTCTCAAGTAGCACCAGCCACTCTGCCTTTCAACAAAACTCACTAATAATTTTAATTCACAATTTTGGAGGCTTTATTATCCAGGCATGGTGCCTGGCATTGAAGAGCCACCCTTTTACCCATTCATCCATTCAGCAACTATTCCCTACCATGTGCCAAGCACTGTTACACAAACAGAGCTACAGCAGTGAAGAAACAGACAAAAATTTCTGCCCTCATGAAGGTAAATAGATAATAAACAAGTAAGCAAACAGGTATTGCTCATAGTCTAGGTAGGGAGGCAGAAAATGAGAAAAGATTTATAGGGTGATAAAGGCAAAGCCAAACTATGCCCCAAAGAGGAGCACTTAACTCAGATTGGTGAAATTAGGAGTGAGCTTCTTGAGGAGCTGATACCTGCCCTGAGTTTTGAAGACCAAGCAAGGTGAAAAATGGAGAGAAGCGCTCCACAAAGAGGAGCAGCATGTGCAAAGGAACTGAGGTTTGTACCCCAGAAATCTACATGCTCCAGACAAGGGCACCCCGCCCCTGGCTTATACACCATCTTTCATAGGAATGCACTTATTCTTTCAAGAGCTCTGCCTCTTCCTGGCAAGGGCCTCACCCTTTCCTCCTCCATTACAACAACCACAATGTGTCTTAAGACAATCACAGTTAGTCCAGGACTTCCAGCATCCCTCATCCTTCAGACCCCCATCCACACATGACTTTTCACCTTGATCGTCATGTTTTGTTTTTGTTTTTTGAGCCTGTCGCCCAGGGTGGAGTTCAGTGGCATGATTATGGCTCACCACAGCCTCAACTTCCTGGGCTCAAGTGATTCTCCAGCCTCAGCTTCCCAAGTAACTGGGACTGCAGGTGCACACTACCATGCCCAGCTAATTTTTAAATTTTTTTATATTCTCATTCTATAAGATGAGAATTTGCTGTATTACCCAGGCTGTTCTTGAACTCCTGGGCTCAAGCAATCCTCTTGCCTTGGCCTCCCAAAATGCTGGGATTACAGGCACGAGCCACTGCACCTGGCCCCTACATCCTTTCTTATTCTCTTTTTTTTTTTTTGAGTTGGAGTCTCACTCTGTCACCCAGACTGGAGTGCAGTGGCCACTCCCGGCCACTGCAACCTCGACCTGCTGGGCTCCGGCAATTTTTCCGCCTCAGCCTTCCGAGTACTACAGGTGCGCACTACCACGCCCGGATAATTTTTTGATTTATTATATAGATGAGGTCTCGCTGCCCAGGTGGGTCTCGAACCCGTGGGCTCAGGCAATCCACTCACCTCAGCCTCCCAAAGCACGGGATTACAGGCTGAGCCACCGAGCCCGGCTCTTTCTTATTCTTTTCTTTCTTTTTTTTTTTGAGTTGGAGTCTTACTCCATCACCCAGGCTGGAGTGCAGTGGCATGCTCATGGCCACCCTGGTGTTGACCTGCTGAACTCAGGCGATCCTTCCACCTCAGCCTTCCAAGTAGCCAGACCTACAGGTGTACACTGCCACGCCCAGCTAATTTTTTGATTTATTGTAGAGATGAGGTCTCGACAAGTTGTCCGGTCTGTTCTCGGATCTGTGGCTCAGGCAATCCCCTCACCTCAGCCTCCCAAAGTGCTGGGATTACAGGCTTCAGCCATCACACCCAGCCTTATTCCTTTCTTATAACCTGTTATTCATCACAGTCACTCCATAAAGCAGCCCCTCCCTTCTTTTTTACACTTACCTGGTAAATCCAATGTTCTGCTTTTTCCACAACTGCTCCCAAGAGAATATAATCCATGTTGGTTGACCTCAACTAGACCCCTTTTCACCTTGCGCATGCTCCTACCACCACATCTACTTCTTATCCACATCTAAGTCCTTGACTGAAGGCCTTCCTTCGGGTTCTATGGATATATTGTCCTTACTCCTATCTAATGCCAATTCCTCTACGTGTGTATTAGGTACCATTCATGCTCACCTACTCAAGAACATCACTCCAATGACTCACTCTCTCTTGCATCGAGTTTCCCTTTTTATTATATCATTCCCAACAAAATACAGATATGCAATTAATCCACCTACGTTTTTTTTAAACTGGAGTCTCACTCCGTCACCCAGGCTGGAGTGCAATGGCACACTCACGACCACCCCAGTGTCGACCTACTGGGCTCTACCGATCCTTCCGCCTCAGCCTTCCAAGTAGCTGGAACTACGGTCTCATGCTACCACACTCAACTAATTTTTGATTTATTGTAGAGATGAGGTCTTGCCAA